CGTAAGCAAGCCCCACTTCCAAAAAGTTTATTTTCAGCTGGAATTTACATGTTATACATGTGGAAATGTTTAATTCCAATCTTTGGTTTTAAGTTTTTGGGGTTTACAGTAGAGTTGATAAGGGTAAGGCGGAGGCTTTGGGGTAAAGCTGAAGCTTAACGTGGGTTTGAGTTCAGGTAAAGTTAAAGCAATGAAAATGTAAATTTAGGGATAGCTGAGGCAGAGCTAGGGTAGCCTGAGGCTTGAAAAGGTTAGGACAAAGGTGTGGCAAAGGGCTAAAGCAGAGCTAGAGTAGTGCTGGGATTTGGTATGAGTAGGGCCTAGGTGAAGCTAGGATAGACCAAAGGCTTGCTGAGGGTAGAGTTAAAGCATGGCAACGGTAGAGCTAAGGCTTAGCAAGGCTAGGACTGAGGTTTGGCAAGGTTGGGTCAAAAGTTGCCAAGGGTAAGGCTAAGGCTTGGTAACGCTAGGGCTGTTGCTTAGCAAGGCTAGGTCTAATGCATAGCTAACGTAGGGCTGAGGCTTGACAAGGGTGGGGTTGAGGCTTGGCAAAGCTGAGGCTCAGGCTTGCACGGGTAGGGCTCAGGTTTGACAAGGGTCGGGTTGAAACTTGTCAAAGCTAGAGCTTACTTAGAGCTAGAGTAGGGCTTTGTTGGATAAACTTGAGACATGAAAGCTAATATAAAAACACTTGGCACAAGGTAAAGCAATTTAAAAGTAGGTTTGGTAAAATTTTTAACAGCGTTCGGGAATGGCTAGTTTAGTGCAAATTTTTTACTAAACTAAAGCCAAAGCCAGATAAAAATTGGGCAAGCTAAAAATAATTTTTTTAAAATTTTAATTGTTAAAATACAAAAATTTTTTTAATTTTCAAACTTTTTGAACTAAAAAAAAGTTTCACTTTCAAACTTTAAACCAAAAAATTTAAATTAAAAAATTTTTTAAAGTTTAATCAAATTGGCTTGATTTGGCTAAACCTAATCGAAATTTATAATTTTACTATTTTTTTACTTTAAAATTAAAAAATTTAAATTTGAAAAACTTATATAAACTTTAAATCTAAATCGATACTTCTATTTTAATCAGTACTAATACATAAACCAAAATCAAATCCACTAAACAATAATGAGATGACTGTTTATTCAGTATTTTCTCGTTCGACTACGACAAACAACAAAAAATATATGAGTTGTAAATGATTTTAAAGGAGAGGGATGGGGGAAGATCAATGCATTACAATGACAAAGTGTAATGGGATAAAGAGAAACAAATTGATTTCATATTATTGAGGTGTAACGTTCATATCGGAAGGTTTTACAGTAATAAGGAGGAGGAGTTACAGTATGATTTGGTATGATTTTGGGGGACAATTGGTTCTGAGGGTGGTATAGATGGTACAATATTGATACAAAGTTGGTATTGTAGATAGTATGAAGATAGTATGAGTTGTGTAGTACAGTTCATAGTATAGTACATAGCATAACATAAGTAGTACAACAAATCATAGTATGGTATATAGTACAAGATGAAGACTACAGTAGTGCTAAGTATAGCGTAGAAGATACAGTATGACATAGCATAAAATAACAACCTATACTTCTAAAATACCACACTTATATATCTACAGTATACACCAATACCCCTACAATACCCAACCCTACCACTCCACCCAAAATCCACCCTACCCTACAGTACCCCTTCCCTACCCTCCCTATGATGACAAATACGAAACGAAATCACCTTATTCCGAATACCGTACACGTTTCAATGTGTTCAAATATTACAATACAGTAATAATATTAATTAATATTACGAACATACATACCCTAGCTACTACGTTTAAAACTACAGTAAGATTTCTTTCTTTTTTTATTGTGGGAAACCCGGTTTCTAATGTTCAAGGATAATCATAAGACAGCATTTTTTGGGAATTTTTACAGTTTTTGGGGCTACAGTAGTACAAGATTAAGAAAATTGAAAATAGTACTATGTTGGTACTAAGTAGTACTATGAAAAGTTGAAAATGGTAGTCGATAGTACTCAAAAATTACAAATGGTGCTATATAGTACTACTATAAGAAGATGGTGCTATATAGTACTATCAAAGAAAAGATGGTACTATATAGCACTAAAGTTAAAAAATGATACTATATAGTACTACCAAAATTTAAAAAATACCAAATAGCACTAAAAACACAAAAATGGTACTAAATTGTACTACTAAGAATAAAAAATGATAAAAGTGATCGCTAAAGATAAACGTTCCGGCTGTCCCACAGCAATCAGAACCTCAATGTGATGAATGGTTGGTAAAAATAAGGGAGCCCGAGGTAGGTGGGAATGGGTCTAGAAAAATGTCAAAAGATTTGGTTGAGCTGGACTGGTACCGGTTGATGGTTTTTATTGGTTTCGGAGGGGTAAAATTGGCGTTTTGGGGGTGTTTTGGGGTTGAAATGAAGGATTTGGGCTTTTAAAGGCTAAAAAATGTAATTCTTGGCCTATTTCGGCTAAAAAAACTTAACGTTTTAAGTAGCCTAAGGCCAAAAACTAACTCCTCTAGCCTTTAAAAGCTTCAAGCCAATCTTACAAGCCCAAAACACCTATTTCTATCCAATTTCCCACCCCCAAAACCAATTTTTCCTGCAAAAAAAGCCCCAAACAATGGTCCAGACCCCCGTCGAAGCTGCCAGCCCACCCCAACCACAATCTTTTCGACCTAACAGCAACCTGGATTGATTACAAAACCGTAGACAACGCCGGGAGAGAAAATGTGAAATCGAGAGAAATTCAAAGTAGAGGCCCGCTTTATATCCAAACTAAAGTAAAATACGTTGAAGACCAGTAAACGACCAGTGGTTTTAGTTTTTGATGCTTTTGTTTGCGCATTATTTAGAAGCGAATAGATATTGGGATGAGTTTCTTGGGTATGGGTTTGAAAAGCGTTTAAAATTAGGGTTTAAATTGAAAAAAGTTCGAAAGTTGAGGTTTGAAAAAGATTGGGTTGGCTTGAGAAAATTGCCGTAACTTTTTGACCGGCAAACCAAAAATTTTAATTTTTTGATTTTTAGGTAACAAAAAACCCTGTTTCTTAGAAAAAAATACATATTTTTTATTTTTTGGTCCAATATATTTTGTCATATCGACCAAAAACTTCAAAAAAATGTTTGAAATTTGACTTTCAAAGAAATTGAGGTAAGCTTGGAAAAATGGCCATAATTTTTTGACCAATTAATCAAAAATTTTGAATCTTTGAATTTTAGGTTGCAAAAACCCTGTTTTTTCTCCAAAATACAAATTTTGCATTTTTGGTCCAATATATTTCGTCATATCGACCAAACACTTCAAAAAAAATCTTAATTTTTTGCCCATATTTTAACTTTTTTCAAAATCGCACCCCCCTAAAACTCATCAAAAATAGAAAAAACCTAAGAGAATGAATAAGTAATATAACAAACAATAAAAGATGTCACAGAACCGTAGGCAACATCAACTACACCGCACGATAAAACACGTTGATTATCACCTGAGGGCTTATATATTAGGCGGAACGGAGCTCCAAATGCGGAATCCCGAAGAATATTTGGCACTTACACTCGTTAAGGTCTCGGGAAAAAATAAGAATTGATTTTAAAATAATTTTTAGATAAAATTAAAAATTTTTTCAAAAAAAAATTTTTTTGAAAAAATTTTAAAAAAAATAGAGAAAACCGTAAAAAACAGATCAAAGGTCCGGGGAAACAAAGGTACAAGTATTCTATGACGAATCGAAGAGATGATTGGTTTGAACAGAGGATTGTAAAGCTTTTAGGCTATGCGCCGAAACTGCACCCGGACTATTTTTTGCTACTAACTGGGGCTTTTTTACCGTTTGTGGTGCTTGAGATACTGACAAAGTACTATGAAGTACTAGAATAGTACTACAAGGTACTGACAAAGTACTACAAGCTACTAAAAAGAAGTACTGAAAAAGTACTACAATTACCAAAAAAGTACTCAAACTGAGGGACACTACTATTGAGGCAAAATAGCCGGTTTACTATTGTGAGAGTTTCAGCCAAAGAGTTACCCGGATCAATCGCAAATACAGTAAAACAATGTGGTAGAGTAACAAAGTAGAGTAAAAAAAGTGTAAAAAGTTGTAGAACAAGACCAACAAGTGAGATCGCCGTTGAGCGCGGACCCAGAATATCGCTTTGTTTTTGAAGGGAAGTGGTACTATTGGTAATGTTGATACAAAAAACAAATAAATATAGTACCAAGAGCTTTTTTGGCTTTTGGTACAATTTTAAAAAATTTTTTTGTTTTTGGTACCACTGGTACTATTGGTACTGATAGTACTAAAAAATTATAAAATTAGTACCAAATTGTTTTTTTGGACGTTTAGTACTATTTTCGAAAAATTTTTGTTTTTAGTACCAATGGTACTAATGGTACCATTTCTCACAAAAATCAAAGGTTTCTGGACGCACTCGAAGCTCACGATCTGCATGATGACAATAAATTTTCTTTCAAAATTTTTTTTCTTTTTAGAACACAGTTTGATTAAAGATTACCTAAGGGCATGAAGATTAAGCAAAAACTCGAAAAATCGCCATTTTTAACCGTTAAAACCAGTAAAATACACCATTTCATTTACTGAAAGTAGTCGAATTTACAGTTTTAAAGTTAATTAATGGATTTGAAGGTATAAAACAGCTAAAGAAGTCAAGAAGCTCATCAAAAAACAAAAAAAATCAGACCTGCACATGTTGTTGTAGGCCTGGTAGATCATTCAGCTGAGAGATGGGTGGAAAATGACCAGAATAATTTAGCGACAAAAGGTTGTTAACAATCAAGGGAATGGGGCTGTTTTTGGGTGTTTTTGAGGTATTTTAGGCTTACTTTTAAATTTTCTTACAATTTCGAAAAATTTCGAAAAATTTTAAAATTTTAAAATTTTAAAAATTTAAAATCAGCCCCCAAATTCCTCAAAACCACCTAAAAAACTTCAAGATGACATTCTAAAGCGATGGAACGCATTGTTCGTCGATAACGCCTACCACACCTTCCACGTCGACTCCAGAATCTGCGTCCGCATCCTTGGCCCGCTTCTCGGAACGTCCACTTCCGGAACGGTGGGGTTTTCGCTTGCGTAGGCGGCGTTTTTCGTCGGAGCGACCGTCCAGCAGTGCTCCATCGTCGTCGCATTCGGAATCCGTGAATTCGTCCTCGTCTTCGTCGGATTCGTAGGCCAAATCAGTAATTTCGTGGGGTGTGGTAGAAGTGATTACAGTATCTTCTAGAGTATTAGATTTGTGTAGCGCTGTAGAAGTTTTGGCTACTGAATCTTGGTATGAAGAGAAGTGTTTGGCTTCAGAATCTTGATATAAAGATAAGTTCTTGACTTCAAATTCTTGGTATGAAACCATCTTCTTGGCTTGAGAATCTTCAGTTGGAGCGTCAGAATCCTTAAGGTCCATAGCTTCAAATTCAGAATCTTGTTTAAGCTCTGAACCTTCAGGTACAACAGCATCTTCTATACTGTAGAATTGGATCTTGCCAGTAGCTTGAGTACAACGAAACTCTGGTTTCCGTACTGTAGATACTGTAAGTTTAGAAGTCATACTGTGCTTTTCAGAAGCCATTCTACTTAATCCAGTAGCATCAAAGAACTCGACCTTCTTTGTAGCTTCAAGAAACTCGGATCTCGACTCAGTACTGAAGAACTCAATATCACTCTTTGTACTGTAGAATTTCTTGTTCGTATTGTAAAAATCGCTCTTCGTACTGTAGCCATCACATTGAAACACAGCTGGAGGTCTTTCATCCTCATCAAACTCCTCATTCCGACTAGATTGCCATAATTTACCGCCGAATTCGGTCGATAATCCTTGACCTTGCTTCAGATCAAACTCCACGTCCACGGGTTCAGAAGTCTTCTCATCAGCGTCAGCATCAAACACCACTGTCATCGTGGGCTGGCGACTGGATTCGGCACGTTTGTCCGTATCAACTTCCACTGTTTCGTCCAGATTCAAGGAGCGACGATCTTTCCAACGCCATAGTGAGGATTCTGAAGTCTGTGCGGAATCATCGTCCATGAAGCGAGTACGTGGTGCTGGCTTCTTGGGTGGTGGTGTTGGTGGGGTTTGCTTGATCAGTTCCGCACATTCGTATGGTACTCTAGAATGAAATAGGTTATAAATTTGATTTTTGAAGATTTTTTGGTTTGAATTTTGAATTTTTTTGAAATTTTAAAATTTTTAAAAAATTTTTTGAAATTTTTAAATTTTCAAAATTTTTAAATTTTTTTATTTTTGCACAAAAATTGTGATGTAAACAAAATCAATGCTGTTTATGTGTGTTTCAATGCCTTTTCTCTCCTGCTTTCGACCGTTCCAAATCTTTTTTCTTTGCACTTTGCGCACAGACATTAAGGCACCCCACAGGTAAGACGATCCATTGAAACTTGTTTTTTTCTCCTCTTTGCGCCGGCGTAATTGGCTGTTAATGCTTCGGTGTTTTAAAGAGAGAAAGGTTGTTCAAGAACACGGCGGGGGAGTGGAAACGGGGGTCATTGGTGGGGAGTATAAACGGGGGTCGGTGGTAGGGGATTGAGTGAAGGAGAGATTGAGAGGACAAGGGGGTGATGATCGTGTAGAGAATGAATAGTAGGGGGGAAGGTAGGGTAAAAAAATGAAATTTATATTCCGAAATGAATAAAATAAAAAAGCAAGTGCCAATTTTTTTAAAAAATTTTTGGCAGGGATAAATTGGGGGTAGATAATTTTTTTTTCCAAAAATTTTTTTTTCGCTTTTAAAATAGACATGACCTAAACAGATGTAAAGATACATATTTTTTACCAATTTTAATTAATACCTTTAAATCAAAAAAAAATTTTTTTTTGGAAAATTTAAGCTTGGTCCCCCCTGTGAATTTTTCTTCATTTTTTTTGCTATTTTCAGCTCATATCTCGCTATTTTTTCAAATTTTACACTATTCTTTAGCCTCATTCTAATCTCTGACATTTCACATTTCATTTCCTTTTCCATTCTCAAATTCTCGCTGTATATCCCCCAGCCGTTGCTCTTAAAAGCCCCCACCCGCTGTGCTTGCTTATCGCTCGAGATGGAATCTTTGCAGAAAATTAGACGCGAAAAGCGAAAGGAAATTGCCACAAAAAATAAACAAATTGGGGGGCTGCGTAAACATGGACAAAAAGTCGTTAATCTTTGCAGCCACCTGCTTGCACACGATGCAAATTTGCTTTTAATCAAACGGCTTTGTTTGGCCAGAAGGTACTTTGGACTGTTGGGTTTTGGGGAGTGATTTTTGAAATTTTAAACTAAAAAATGAAAGTTCAGAGCCATTTCTAAATAGAGAAAATGGTCAGACTACCACAACAGTACACAAAAAAAATAATTTATCTAAGCCCAGATTTTTTTTTTCAAAAAAAATTTTTTTTTTAAAGTTGAACTTGGTCCCCCCTGTTGATTTTTTCCAAAAAAAATGTTTTTTGTTTTTTTTCCCTTCGTTTTAAATTTACCTCGCCCAACATTTAATCCTACTACTAGCAATACGAAACCTCTTCAAAACTGATGCCAATACCAAAAAAGTATTACCTAATTTAGTACGAATAAGGAAGTATTACCTACTTTAGCTCAAATAAGACTGTGTTACCCAGTTGAGGCTAAATGTCAAAGTATTATCCATTTAAGCCCACATAAGAAAATATTACTCACTTGAGCACAAATATCAAAGTAGTACTCAGTTAAACCCATATAAAAAGTTATTGCCTAATTTGGTCAAAATAAGACTTGCTCACTTAAGCCCAAATATCACAATATTACCCCCTTAAGCCCCAATATCAAACTATTATCGACTTAACCCTTAACTATCAAATTTCGTATGTACATTTGCTTAACAACATCTGCTCCGTGCTCTTTTGTTCTCTTTTGTGCACTGTTAATCTGCATCGACCTGGGTCAAGAGCGTGCCAGAAAACGACAGCTCGAGAGGCATATGGAGTGTGATTATGCGTCGAACCACCTGCGCACTTAATTCTTTTCAACTTTGTCAGGCTTTTATGGATTGGTTAAGAGAGAGTAGGGGGTTTTGAGAGGGTGGGTAGAGAGGGAGGGTGTGGGGAAGTTTTTGGGATGGGTTGGGGTAGGTGGGGTAGAAATGGGGCATGGATAGAGCATGAGAAGAGCGTGCGTAGGCCATAGGTAGAGCTTGTGTAAGGCATGGGTAGAGCTTGAGTAAGGCATGGGTAGGCCAAAAGTAGAGCTTGTGTAAGGCATGGGTAGGGCTTGAGTAGCGCATGAGTAGGGCTAAGTTAAGGCTATAGTAAGACTTGGGAAAAACTAGAGAAGGGCTAGAATAACCAGAGCTACTATTTGACTAGGGCAATTCTAGGCAAAACTTAAAATATTTTTTTTTAATTTTTAAAAATTTTTTAAAATCAAGACTTTTCAACCCCTCCCCCCCCCCTCTCTCATTCCCTCCACAATGTCCATGTCCCTCCACCCCTAATGTTATAGCGCAATTCAGTTGGACTTTTTATTGGATTTGGGGCTGATTGATTGACAGTCATCCAAATCTTTGGGTCTAATGAGTCTGATGCAATCAGAGCGCGCACACAAAAGAAATAAAGACGAACATCGACTTCCGAAACAAACAACACACATCGCATAAACAATTTTTGAGAGCAAAATTTTGAGTTTTTACTAAAATTTTTTAAAATTAAAAAAAAAATTTGAAATTAAAAAAAAATTTTTTTTGATATTGAAAAATATTTTTTTTTTATTTAAAAAATTAGTTTTTAAAATTTAAAAATAGTTTTATATTTTAAATAATGTATAATGAAAAATATTTTTTTTAAATTTAAAAAAAAATTCAAAATTTCGAAAAATCTGTAAAACCCCTCTAGGATAACATAAACAGGTGATTGTAGAGAAAGGCAAAGATTGATAAGTTTAAAATTAAAATGACTAGTAGATGGATAAGTTTTGGATAGGTAATGGGCTTTGATTTTGATGGATTGATCGGTTTTTAGTTTTGGCTGCTCTTTGGATGTTGGTTCTAGTATATATGTTGTGTTAGGTAATTGTGTGTGTTTGTATTGAATTTTTTGGTGCTTTCTGTATAGTTGGTACTGTGTGTTTAATACTATGTAAACTCAGCTGTTTTTAGAAATTTTAACAAAAAATTTCAAAAAAATTTTTTTTTAGATCCACAGGGGGGACCAAGCTCAATTTTTCGCAAAAAAATTTCTTTTTGAATTTTTACCCCGCCCACCCTAAAAAAACTTTCCTACAACCTTACCCACCTAAAAATACATGATTTCACCCCCAAGTTCCTATCAAAATTCTTTCCATTCACAGTCGAATGACCTAACATATGTCCATTAATTGAAACGGCACCGAGATTCTACCTTCATTAACCAACAAAAAACAGGAATAATTACGCCGATGCGTTGACCCGTTCGCCGAAAGTGCAAAAGATTAAGGGCCTGAACAAACAACTTCTAATTACTCTCCCCCCCCTAATTATTCAGCCAAACCTAGGATTGGGCTTAAAACAAATGAAATGTGAGGAGTTAAATAAGGGGGGGGGGGGGGGTTGAAAAAATGGTGACTTTTTGGAGTTTTTATGGATTTTTTTGGTTTAAAATTGAGGTAAGTTTATAAAAATTGTTGTGTAGGCTTAGAAGGACATGCTGTTTCATATTTAAAAAAAAAATTTTTTTGCCAAATTTAAAAAATAAATTTTTTTGTCCCAACCGTTCCAAAAATAGCCAAAATTGAATTTATGAAACGACAAAGACCTCCCGCACTTTAATAAATGCTTTCTTCCGAAACACTGAGCAAGTTTCAAAAGCGAGTCTTAAGGTTTCTGCACAATTTATGGCTTCCAACTTTCGCAAGTTTTTGAATGAAAAATGGGTAAAAACTGAAGGAGAGGGTATGGAAACATGTGATATGGTATTTTTAAACTATAACTTAGGGTATTGCAAAAAAAATTTTTTTTGGTTTAGCGAAAATTGGCTAAAATTGAGAGGTAGATAGATGGTCGTTAGCTTTGCAAGGTTGCAATTTTGAAATTGTCAAAACTTATTGAAACCAATTTGATAAAATTATAAAACAATTAGTTTTCAATAGCAAAAAAACTGTATTTTAAAATGGCATAAAACAATTTTTAATTTTCGGTTTGTAATCTATTTAAAAATTCACTTTTTAAATTCCCAACCCTTTTGAACCAAAACTTGAATTTAAAACCAATTTGAATAAAAAAACCTTTCAAAACCCCATTTCCAATTCCGTGGCCTTCAAAAACTTGTACAACGTTTTAATTTTAAATTTGCCCGGAAAAGTTCTTTGTACTTAATCATGAAAAGCCAATGCTTAATACTTTTTCGGCATGACATGAAAGTTTTTAATCCTAGTTTTTTAAATATTTTCTTGCATCTTAAAGGCTTGCGCTGCTTCTTGGCGGCTCGTTTTGCGAGGGGAAGAATGGAGTTATGGGGACGGCGGGGAGGTGGGAGAGTGTGGTAAAGGGGGATGGATGATGAGAAGGGAGAAAGAATGTGACAATGAGGAGGGTAGAGAATGGGTATTAGTAGAGGTGTAAGCTAGAAAAGATGTTAGAGAAAGTTTGGAAGCTTGCCTAAGAAAAAAATTTTTTTTCAAAAAAAATTTTTATCCCCTCCCCTCTTATTTTTTACCCTCTACGCCTTCCCCCCTTTTCTCTTTTAAAAATACATTTTGTACCTTTCCCCTTCCCTACCCTTACCTAAGCCTTTCCTATGCTCTCAAAAAAGCCTTTTTCATCAACCTCCTCCTCCCGTTTCCGCCCCCCCCAATCAATACCTCCCTAATCTGTCAGCCATCTTCGTAACGCCAAAACCTCAAAATTTTAAATCTTTGCTCATCAAGCGGCCAAGCTCAACAATTTTCACGAGCTGTCGAATATTGGTGAGATTAAGCCCCAGCCCAATCCGAGATTAAAAAACAAATCTGTGGCGCGTCCCCGGAGAGCGGTGTTATCATGATCATCGATATTCCCCATGCGACAAAAGTCAATTTCCTGTTTAGACCGGGAATAAACAAAAAGAGCGGAACGGTAGCTGGTCCAGAGGGTTGGGAATGACAAAATTTTTGATTTTTAAAAACTTTGAATTTAAAAAAATAAAAATTTTTAAAAATTAAAATTTTGAAAATGTTTGAATTTCTAAATTTTTTTCTTAGGCTTATATTAAACCTAAACCAAAACGTTAGTACCCAAATTTAGGTTTGTTTTAAAGCCTATTTCCTTGGCTACAAAATGATACTAAAAACATCCATTTTAGTCCAAACCCCAAGCCAGTCCACTCATTTTCCTAAGACCCTCTTTCATCTACTCTCCCTAAACTTCTTTCACTTCCTCCTCATCCTAAGCCTATTTCCTCATTGATAAAACTGTAAAAAACAAGAATCAATTTTTAATAGCTGCATTGACAGTTTATCAACGATAACACCGTATAGTAAGAACATTACCATCTTGTGATATTGTTTTTTCCTTCAGTTCTGCACCTTCCACTACCACCTGCCTTTATCAGCACATTTGATGGTATTATCAGTCTGCCAGCAAAATTTTAATATTGTTTTGAAATTTTATATCTTGTTTTAGTGTTATGTAATGATTTTTTGGCTAAATTTAAAAAAATTTCAAAAAAAAATTTTTTTTCAAAAAAAATTTTTTTTTTTATTTTTTAGAAATTTTAGTCTAGCCTGTAGGCAAATGCAAAAACGCTTATCTCTCCTCGTCCACAGTCATTATCAGCTCTTCATTTTCACGGAACGCCGTTTAAAAACCATCAATTCGGCTATTTTGCAGCAAAAACCCTGGGAACGAAACGGAAAAAAGTGTGTTGGCCTTTGGACTTGAATATGAAAATTGATATATGGGCCCAATTTCTATATATACACACATAAACACTCCAAACAAGAGTTCAATTTGGGCCGGTTTGTTGTAAAAATAGCAAAATACTTGAAATTTTGAAAGAAAACGCTGAATTTTGAAGTTTTTCATCAGCTTTTTTTGAGAAAAATGCCATTTTTAGATAGATAGCCAACCTAAAACTAAAAATCTTATTATGCCATTTTAAAATACAGTCTTTTGCTTACCCAAAACTATAAATTTCAAAATTTTATCAAGTTGATTTAAAGTAGTTTTGTCGATTTCAAAATTACAACTTTGAAGAGCTGTAAACCAGTCAATTTTAGCCAATTTTCGCTCCAAAAGCATTAAAATGGTGTTACAAGCAAATTGATTAGGTTTCCTAAGCCTTCAGACAGACTTTGCTCCCCCATTGACCTTTACTGATAATTAAGCGAACATATCGCCTTAGGGGAATTGAGAAACTTAATGAAAATAAAAATATTTTTTCAAAAAGAATTTTTTTTTAAAAAGTTTTAAACGTGCATTTTAAGACCCCTCGTATTAAAAAGTTCTTCATACAGCCTAAAAACTAGTACTAACAAGCCTTGTACTATTAATTTGGGCCAATTTCCTTTACAAACTCTAATTCCTTAATTAGCATAAAGTCGGCGTCGCAGTAAGTTTTAATTAAGCCGGAAGACGGGAATTAATTCGGGACAAAAAATTTTATGACATATGGGTCAATAACTATTAGTTATGTGTCAGTAATTCTAGTAATTCCATGTGAAACATGTCAAAGAGTCCGAAAGAGCGAAAAAGTGCACAAATTTTGCAAATTTTTAGCGATGACGGCTTTTTTGGACAAAATTTTGAAAAAGTATTTTAATGGAAAGTTAACCTATAGTATTGGCAATGATGTTACATGCTTTTTACTGCATGGTAAACGCTTTACTTTGAGTTATGAATTAAAATATTAACCATACTTTACCAAAAATCAGTTTTTGAGCCCAATTTTCAGCTTTTTTCGCCATTTTTCAGCCATTTTTTCCAATTTCTAAATCTCAAAAGTAACATTCTGTAATGCCACTTTGATTAAAATACATTTCCATAAATACCATTGCCATTTCAAGTACGTTTTCCTCGTCAAATTACTACAAAACTTGTACTTTGAGGGCGTAATGCGCTGGAAAAAGTTCTCGGATTACCTTGGAGGGGCTCAAAGATCGCGAACAGATGGCCATGAATGACATAACAAAGCCTTATGTCACCGGTCACAAAAAGGGCTAGCCGTAAAAAAGAAATATTATGACGGAGGGGCTTGGACTTAACAGTAGGACCAAGGTTTTGGCTGGGGTATGGTAAGAAGATAGAGAGGATGGTAGGGGGATGGTCAGAGTTTTTTCAATTTTTAACTTAAAGTTTAGCTTTTTCAAAATTTGCAAAATATCTTACAGTACTCTTAGTACCTTAATGCAATAGATTGTATTAAAATTTTTTTGAAATTTGCTTTTAAAATTTAGTAATCGATAAAAAATGGCAAAAAATTAACATTTATCACAAACTTTTCAAAAATTTTTTCAATTTTTTAAAATTTAAAAAAAAGGAATTTAAAAAAAAGACCAACCTGTGCATGTCTTGTCTAGCCTTTCTCAACAAACGCAGGATGAGCAGGTTTCTTCTCAGCTTGCCCGTGCCCTTGGATTGCATCATTTTCTCGCACGACAGCTTCACGAACCGTTGACAAATCTCGATTTCGGTTTCTTGTGTCACCAACATTCTGTTCTGTTTCATAGGTACTCACGATTGTACTATCAAGTAGACAATAGTATGTGATGCACAAAGATCGTACTATGTGTTTCACAACAAAAAGTTGCAGAAGTTGCTGCACAACGACGTGCTACACCGTGATTCTTGTACCGAATCGGCTCGAAAATACCCGTTTTCTTGTTTATTTGACAAAACTTGATGACGCCAGTGTCAAAAGTATCGTCAAGATGAGTTGTCCGAGCTTCTGAAGGGTTTTTATGCGTTCATTGTAACTTGTAGGTAACCAGTAGTGTTGGAGTGATATCACTTGGTGAGTACCCGGTAGATGGTCACGATGAGAATCGTGACGAAATTGTGAGAGAACGTTGAGTTCCCGGGGCTACAACGGCTTCTGGAAGCGTTGTAGCTACGTGAAAATTTGGTTGATGATGTAGAAGGTACCACAAGATATTGTAGTAGCTTCAGACCAAAAAGTTCTTCAGAAGACCAAACGATTCTTCAGTAGCAAAGGCACAGTGAAGTTGTAATGTGTTTTCCAAGTGACGTGCCGCCACTACACCGGTATTACGAATGGGGAATGGATTCTTTGTTCTTGATACCAGTAAAAATAGAGACGACTGTTTGCGTGTGTCAACCCGGTGACCGTCTGCAAAATTGGAACGTTAGATATAGAAATTTTTGAAATCTTGAAGAAATGTCAAATTTTAAAACATAAAAATGGTACTAAAAACCCCAAGATCTTCAAAAACTAAAAAAATTTCAAAAAAAATTCACAAGGGGGACCAAGTTCAAAAATTTTTCGAAAAAAAAATTTTTTCAAAATTTTTAATTGTGTCATAAATGATGAGAACTAAAACCTAACACCTTATCATTTATGTATAACACAGGGAAAAGGCGTCATATTGGGTTTAGAATAGCTTGTAACTCAATATGGGCTCATATATACGTTTTCAAACCATTTTTTCTACAAAAAAAAATTTTTTTGAAATTCAAAAATAAAAATTTTAAAAACTAACCTTTAAACAAAAAAAAATTTATTTTAAAATTATAAAAAATAGTTTCAAAGCATAAAAATATAAAAAAACCATTAAAAAACCAACAAAATCAGCAAAACCCCTACGTTCAGATGTTCGAAAAAACGAAAAACTACCAAAATTTAATCGGCACTGTAATTTTTGACCTTCAAACACGTCTTTTTGCCTAAGCAATTATCAGTAAAATAAGTAACAAAAACAAGTCGGGATCAACACGTTCTTTCGACTCATAATTTTTTGCGTTCTTGTCAACAGGGTCCCCCTTTTGAATTTTCTTAAATTTTAAAAATTTTCAAAAAAATTTTTTGTTAAATTTGGTTTAAAATGAAGTACTATAACCTTTCATATTCAGTAAAATATCATTTTACCCTTTCGTGAACTTTTAAACATTTCTAAAGCGTTTTTGTCAACAGGGTCCCCCCCTTTGAATTTTTTGAAATTTTCAAATTTCAGAAAAAATTTTTTTTAAAGTTGTTTTAATATGAACCGTTATAACTTCTAATAATCGAAAAACATCATTTCACCCCTCCCCGACCCTTAAAATAATTTTAAAATTTTTTTTTCCAAAAAAACAAGCCAAACCCCCTATCAACCAACAAAACCCCTGCTTAACCCCACTTTCCTACTTGTCTAACCCTATATTCCTACTTGCCTAACCCAACCTTCCTGCTAATAACCCCAGCCAACCACTTTAACTCAATACTGCAAGAAAAAATTATTGTGTAAACCGCGAAAAATTGAGAAAAATCAGTTTTTTCCGCATCAGTCTTGACTGGTGAGCGAGACCGAGCGGCGCGCCTTATCAGTGCACTCTTAGAGAAGAAAAGCCTCAGATCATTCGACCCTTTTCTCGTTGCGAAAAAAAAATCGTAGTAAAAATAAAAAAAATTTTTTTTTAATTTTGAAATTTCAAAAATTTAAAATTCCAGCCAAAATCAAAGAAAAAGCCAAAAGTTAATCAACCCAAGTCAAAAACCCAAAAAAAAGTTGTGTCCGATTGCACTTTTGGCACGGCATACGTCCGCCGGTCCTAGGGCGTCTCGAACGTAAAAGTTCAATGTAGTTAAAGATGGATTAATCGGCTAGGAAAAAAATTTATTGCCCAGAAGTTTAAGACAAAAGTCTTGTCATAAATTGCATTTTTAGGTTTAGTAAAACAATTTTTTAAATTTTTTTGAAATTTAAAAATTTTTGGGTTTTTAAAATTTTTACAGTTCAAAACCCAAAACCCATGCCCAAATATAAAAGTTGATGCCCAGACTGAAAAACCCATGCCCAAACACAAAAACCCATGCCAAAGCATAAAAACCCATGCCCAGACATAAAAACCCACACCCATGCACAAAAACCCACCACCATGCACAAAAGCCCATGCCAAGTACGAAAATTCATGTCCAGGCTTAAAAACCCATCTTCAGACACAAAAACCCACCCCCAAGGAAAAAAAACTCATGCTCATGCATAAAAACCCACGCCCATGCACAAAAACTCACCACCATGCAAAAAAATTCCATGCCAAGAACGAAAATTCATGTCCAAGCTTAAAAACCCATCCCCAGACATAAAACCCCTGCCAAGACATAAAAACCGAGATTCCTCGCCGTATAACAGATAGCTTTACCCTTCCTACCAATAAGTTTTGTCCTTTTCTTGCAAACGACGTAATGGCCGCGAAAAGTTTTGGGGCCGAGAAAAAAAGCCGGATGCACTTTTGGACATTGACATGAAAATGAAGTTTTTTGATTCCAAAACTGTACATGTGATGAACTTTAGCTAGACTAAAATAGCTTTAGTTTGGGGCGGAATTGATTGACTAAAATAGCTTTAGTTTGGGGTGAAATTGCTTGACTAAAACAGCTTTAATTTGGACTAAAATGGCTTTAATTTAGAAAAAAATGGCTTGACTATGACACTTAGCTTCACTTTGAACTGATATAGCTTGGCTAAAATAGCTTTCCTCTGGCTTAAAAGGTCTAGACTAAAGTAGCTTTCCTTTGGCTTAAAATGGCTTGACTTTAACTGTAATAAAATGAGCTAGCTTTAAGTTAATGTTGACAGGCTTTGGCTAAAGTCTAAATTAAGAACACCTAAACTTTAGCTAGCTTATAGTTTTTCTCTGGCTTAAAACGGCTTGGCTTCAACTAGAATAAAGTGGTCTAGCCTTCGGTTGATTTAGGTTATCAAGATTTGGCTAAACCCACGGTTAACTAAGCGTATTATAATTTACGGTATCTCTTCTTTAAGTAGCCTAAACTAAGCAAACATTAAGCTAAGACAACTCAACTTAAACTAGCCTAAACCAATCGAAGTTTAGTTTAACCTAACTCAACCTAAACTAGCCTTCAGTAAGCGAACTTTAAGCCAAATAAGCTTAAATTTAACTAGCCTAAACTGAGCAAACTTTAAGCTAAGACAACTCAGGTTGAATTAGCCTAAAGTACACAAACTTTAACTCAATCCAATTCAACTTTAACTAGCCTAAACTCAGCAAACTTTAAACTAAGACAACTCATCTTTAACTAGCCTAAACTAAGCAAACTTTAAGCCAAGAAAACTCAAGTTTAACTAGCCTAAACTAACCAAAGTTTAACTCAGGAAAACTTAATATTCATTAGCCTAAACCAAACCAACTTTAAGCCAAAAAAATGCAAGTTTAACCAGCCTAAACTACCCAAACTTTAACTACCCAAAACCAACCGACCTTTTCCAAAACTATCGTAATGACAATTGGTCTTTAAGCCCAAAGTCATGAACTTTTATTAGCCTAAAATGGGGATGAACTTTTGCTGGTTTAAAATAGATTTTCAGAGCCGTAAAATTAAGTTTGGGACGGATTTTGTGGAAGAAAAAGAGGGAAATGTGAACTTTTAGGGATGACAATGAGTGTACGGCTTAAACAAAGTTTGTCACTATGCAGGCTTTACTATAGGGAAAGTGTAATAGTTCCTATAACCAACGTACAAAAGCTGTATTAGCTTCTATAACACGTTCGAGAAGCTGTAATAGCTCCTACAACCTAGTACAGAAGATGTAATAGTTTCTACACCACAGTACAGAAGCAGTACTAGCTTTTTTAACATAGTACAGAAACTGTAATATCCCCTATAACATAGCATAGAAGCCGTTACAGCTCCTGAACCACAGTATAGAAGCTATAATAACCCCTATAACACTGTCCAAAGGCCGTAATACTTCCTGTAACATAGTACAAAAGCTGTAATATAGCCATTACAGTTCCTATAACAAAGAACACACGGTTTAAAGTTACTACAGTAAAGCGGAATATGATGTTTTGTTTATAGAATTAAAAGAAAATATGTTTTTCCTAAATAAAAATCAATCAAAATTGATTTGTAAGATTTCAAAACCCCTACAACTTTGGTCTTTTCAATTTATTTTCAAAACCTTGAGGCAATACTTTTTAAAAATACAATTGTTTAAATTTTTTAGGCTTAAAGATAGGCTTATAATATTGAAAATATTCTAAAACTTCAATTTTTATCAAAAAAAACAAGCTAAAACTTGAAGTTTAAGGCTTTTTTTTTCAATTCTCTGGCCTTTCAAACCCCTTTAAACTCAAAATCACCTGCCCAAACCCAACCCCACTACCAAAAACCCCTCGCCCCTTCCACAGCCAACTCCACCGTCGCATTCTGAAGTCGGCGGGTGTGGGAGAAACAAAGAAAAATATAAAGACGATGATGAAGTTGAAGGCAGAGAGTTAATCTCGACCCCTCCGCTTCAAAGAACACTTTGTCCCCGCCCGTCTCGAGGGTCGTTGTTATTCCCCCTCCCGAGCGTTTCCCCCCGCCTTGCGACTGGGAAACACAGGGACCGGCTGCTCGCCCGCCATCCCCACCCCAGACTGTCGGAAAACAAAGACGGCGGCGAGGAATCGGGACGGGGCAGTGGAAGAAAAAAAGGGGCAAAGGGGTGGTGGAAACGGTCCCAGCCATCCCTCTTCGGGTTTCGGGC